ATATGAGCCCTTGAACAATAGAGTATCCTGTGCTCTTACTGGTTTAAAAAGGAAACAACAATCACAACAGAATCTGGGTTGTTAAATCAGGATAAGACCTGTCCAACTGGTCCATTTCTTTAAGAGCTTCTAGTGATTAAGGTTTTGCCCAGAGTAGTTAATGGCGCAGAATGTAGCCTACTTCAATAGTCAAAGTAAATGTCATTACTAATTAATGGCCCATATATTGATTCTTTGCCAGTGTGGCATCTTACCCGCACCATCTTGGTAACAGTAAGATTGAAGCTCCCTCTAGTGGTCTTTAGTGATAATATCCTGCGTACTTACTTGCCATACTTGCCCTCTTTTTCCCCCAATATCTGAATAACGTTTTAAACTTTTTTCTTTACATTTTTAAGTAACTTTGTATAGTAGAGGTCACAAAATATCATAGCATCAACTTTAGAGAATAGATAGCTGACATTTTACATTGAAAAGAGACAATTAAGTGAATATGTGCACCAAATGACCAGATTATATTTTGGCACATTAGCTGCATAATATATAACTATCTCTAACATTTTCTCCTTTCACACACCAGCATACGAAAGTAAAATTTGTTTGGCACCTTTGCTAAGTTTTCTTGCAGAACAGTGAAGTCACAGGACCGTGCAATTCAGCGTCTCCTCCTCTGTGGGTACAAATATTAGAAAATCTGAATACATGTGTATCATAACAATGCATTCTGGGTACACAGATCTTACCTCCATAGTAGTAAAGTATGGCAGCTCCAACAACCAAACTAAAACAGCTCAAGAAGAACATGGGCCCTGTAAAAAGTAATTCAATTTAACATTCCAACACATTTTTAATAGTGACTCAGTATGAAGTTCCATAAAAAATTGTTGTGAAGTAATTTTTCACATTTGCTTTGACTATGACATTTTGACCTGAGTGTTTTCCAGTACATGACCCCTGACCTAGTTACCCACTGACACACCTTTGACCGCATGGATGGAGCTGGACTGTTCAAAGGAATGTAGCACAGAGGAAGCTGTTTTGGGAAGCCCCGCACACGTGAGCCTGGATGACCCACAAAGCCACAGCCCTGAATGTAATGGGATGTAGATGAATGGAGCAGTACAGAGGCTACAGAGGGGCCGCTCTCTGATACCACAGGTCAAAAAGGTCAACTGGGTTTGTGAATCAGGGGGCAATCACTTTATCCATGATACATGATGCTTAAAGTACCTGTGGCAGGTCAGACTACTCATTTTTACTAAACCACAGTTAAGATCATATGTAAGATTTATGCAAAAACATTCACAATATATATATATTTTTTTTAAGGTATAAAATTTTACTTTCTGGTTGGAATTGATGTCATCATGCTAATGTTTTAAAGTATCAGAAAAATGCCTTTCTTATGCTTTTCAAGGGCAAGGCAAGATGGTGGAAGACTCATTGTATATTTATATAAAAATAAAACAATATACTTCTTCTCAGTGCCCTTTTTCAGTTTTTCAACCCACCTTTATTATTTAGCACATTGGGATTCTTCTATCTCTGAAGTACAAAAGTGAAACATTGTAAATCATTTTTAAAGATTGACAGAGGATCCTGAATTTGGAATACAAATGAACATAAAAGTGTAATAAAAGGTGTAGATCCTAAAAAATTTGGAAATTAAATGTATCATATGTTTTGCTGGATCAGTTTCATGAATTGAATTCACTACAATATAATTTCAAATATTCTTTTATGTTTTGATGTAATATATTTTCATAAGTCTATTTATTTCTATTTCCCATTACCAGGAAGCCATAATAATAATTATAACATTATAAATGTTAGAATGTCTGTGCTGTACGCAAGGGTCTCACTGCCATCCTGCATCATCAGAAGTATAATATTTCCTACAACAGAATTATTGACAGACTGGACAAAACTATCACAGTATCTTGAGGGTTCCTGTCTTCAGGTGCTGAGTGCTGTACTGATGATGAATACATTACTCCTGTGTCACGCCTCTTCTCTTCAACTCACAGACTACAACAATTTATTCTATAACAATTACAAAATACAGTTTGCATCATTTTCCACACTATCCTGATATAAGCCGTGTACATTCCCGCAGTTTTACCTCTGTATCTGCCTCTAGAGGACAGTCTGCTGTACATGTCCTGGGCATGCGCCTAGATTCCTCTGTAAAATTTTTGACACACCTCTTCACCTTTACAGTGGAGGTTCCTCGACAGCTCAGCAAATCTTACCTCGGCCGGCACTTTCATTTTTTCTTAACTGAAATGAGAGACAATGAACCATTGTCATCTAAATTGTGACAGACTTGGAAATCAAACAAAAGCCCTATCCTGCAAAAGTAAAAAAGAGACTGGCAACAGACTTGAATACGATCTAGTTTAAAAGTTACATTATTTTTCCAAAGAACCACATTGTTATCTATGGTACAAAACAATATACTGCTTATAGTAAGTCTTGCCTTAAGACCTACTTTTATCGTGTATTATTTTATTGTGTATATTTATTGAGTTGTGTGGTCCTGTGTCCCTTAAGTTTATTTTTTATTAAAGTTTTATTTTCTTAACAAGGACTTGAAGATTTTAATAGAACTTTATTTTATAATCCCTTTTTTCTGTATTGTGCAACACTTTAGATGTTTTTGTTTATGAAATGTGCTATATAAATAAAAATGAATTGAGTATGGATATTGGAAGTAAAGACTGTATACTTTTTCATTTTAAATCTCACCTTTTGGGCCTCTTGGTTGGATAGTATTTAGGGGTAGGTTCTATTGAGCTGCAGCACCAGTTTTTCAAGCATCTCTGAGTTCATTCTCTGGTGTGAACATAGAAAGTGGGTGCCTGTCAAGAGCTGCCTCATGTAGCCATCAGGGTCTAGTCAAAAAATATGAAATTGTGTATTTTTATTATACCAGCATAAGGCATACACTACTCAGTTTGTTCACTGAATCCTTGATACTCTGTGTTCAATTATTATGTAACTCCTTATCATCATCTGGTTAACTAATCAATACTCAATGTTCCCTCAGTCTTATGTTCCCTGATTTCTAAGTTGTTGTTGTTGTTGTTTTTTTTTTTTTTTCAAAATAAGGCCCTATGTTCCCACATTATTTCCTTTATCATCAATTTGCATCAGAATTTATCCCCATTTCTCCCAATTTGGTAGTCACACCCAACCTATTCTCCAACAACAGTTGACTGTAGAGGTCATGGTGCTAAGGATCCTAGGTTGAAATGACTCTGAATCATCCCTTTAAATGTGGTAAAAATTTTAATCAACCCACTTGTTGATCGCTGCTGTAGCTCCTTGTGCTTTTACCCTCCGCTACAAACTTAAGCATGCGCAGTCTTGATCTTGATCGATGTTTCTTCTGCTCGATAAATAATGTCTGGGAAGTGATGAGGTATTTTTACAGTAAAATTCCGTCTGTGAATTCGTATTCGTACTGATGAAAGCGTAATCGTAAATTTTCATTTCGTAATTGTAATTCTTGGCGTCATAATTTTTCTATTCGTATTCTGATGGATAAAATACACACAATATATTTTATGTACGACGGGACTCATTTGAGAGTTTTCAATTATTTATTTTATGCGCAACTACAGCCAAATATGCACGGATTTCTATTCTACGAATATTTTTGAAAGCTTTCTTAGTCCACATTTCCTCCGCTTTTTTTTTTTTTTTTTTTTTACCGTATGTAACTGGTCAAGACGCACAGCAGCATCTGCGCGTCCACTGAGCAGAAGAGGGGATGTGTTAAAGACGCACACAGCGGTGAATGCAACACACGACACGAGGGAGAGAGAGAGAGAGAGAGAGAGAGAGAGAGAGAGAGAGAGAGAGAGAGAGAGAGAGAGAGAGGGAGAGAGAGAGAGAGAGAGAGAGAGAGAGAGAGAGAGAGAGAGAGAGAGAGAGAGAGAGAGAGAGAGAGAGAGAGAGAGAGAGAGAGAGAGAGAGAGAGAGAGAGAGAGAGAGAGAGAGAGAGAGAGAGAGAGAGAGAGAGAGAGAGAGAGAGAGAGAGAGAGAGAGAGAGAGAGAGAGAGAGAGAGAGAGAGAGAGAGAGAGAGAGAGAGAGAGAGAGAGAGAGAGAGAGAGAGAGAGAGAGAGAGAGAGAGAGAGAGAGAGAGAGAGAGAGAGAGAGAGAGAGAGAGAGAGAGAGAGAGAGAGAGAGAGAGAGAGAGAGAGAGAGAGAGAGAGAGAGAGAGAGAGAGAGAGAGAGAGAGAGAGAGAGAGAGAGAGAGAGAGAGAGAGAGAGAGAGAGAGAGAGAGAGAGAGAGAGAGAGAGAGAGAGAGAGAGAGAGAGAGAGAGAGAGAGAGAGAGAGAGAGAGAGAGAGAGAGAGAGAGAGAGAGAGAGAGAGAGAGAGAGAGAGAGAGAGAGAGAGAGAGAGAGAGAGAGAGAGAGAGAGAGAGAGAGAGAGAGAGAGAGAGAGAGAGAGAGAGAGAGAGAGAGAGAGAGAGAGAGAGAGAGAGAGAGAGAGAGAGAGAGAGAGAGAGAGAGAGAGAGAGAGAAAATGAGCGACAGCAGCAGTGAAGCACAGTAATGTTTTGACACATTTCAGTGCAATATGCAGTTGAAAGGCAGAGTGTAGACTGTGCAAGGTGAAAATATCTTTTTGAGCAGGCTCCACAAATAACTTGCACAGGCACATGAGAATTCATCCTGCGATGTTTGCCCCCAGTACACTAGTAATTCATTTTACTAACAGTTTTGCATAAATTTTGGGAATCAATTAATTTCAGAAGCAGAAAACCTGAGGAGCCATTTAGGAGCCGAAAGAGCCGGCTCTTTATAGTAAAAAGAGCCGAAATTCCCATCACTAATGCCTTCAGCTCTGTTTGTGGCCTCTGCGGCTACGCACACGCTCCTCCTTCTCCTCTTCATCCCCGGAGCCATGTGACCTCCGGATCCTCCATGATCACTGTATAATTAGGTCGCAGACAGGAGATTACCAATAAGAATAGTTAGTGACACTCATAGGGTTCAGCGAGCTTTTATTATTTATTTTTCAGTTACTATAATTTTATGTAGTGGCTTGGATTTTGAACCCTTTTATTAAGATAGATTTTATTTACATTTTGACAGCACAATTTACATAGAGCCTCGTGTAAAAAATACACAATTAATCAACAAACCTTCAAAGTTTCTATAGGCTACATACAACGTAGCCTAATGTAAGTCTACGTCTTCACCAACAGAGGGCGCTATGCCTCAACTTTTCACCAAGGCACATAGTTTTGAAGACTTTATTTACAGTATTTGTACTATAATTGCATGGACCTGTAGTAATCTTAATAATCTTCTTATTGTACATTCCCACGTGGTCCCAATGTTAATACAGTCTTACAAAAGTCAGTAGTTTTGAATAAGTCCTCGGACATCAGACAGATATCACTCGTATAGAAAATTCTTTAGTCGACTTTTTATTCCTTGTCTGATCGGTAGTTCCTGAGAAAGTACCCTGGTGTTTTGCTTCATAGTTACACACAGGATCAAACCTTGAGGTATTTACTTGGACCAGATCTGAACTCAGACTCTGTCTTGAAACAGGCTGGTTATAGTTATTTGAACAGCTGGGGTTTAGTGGTAAAAGTGGCTGGTCATATTCATATCCAGGAAGAACAGGAAAACTGGGAGCATCATTATATGAACAGGAAGGGCCAACTGGATCATAGTACTGCTGTTGACACCTGTAAGGGATAGATAAAAGGTTTGACTCAGCAGTTGAACAGAAAACAGCACTGGAAAAATATTCCCTCAAATGGCATTTACGTCACTTCTAACTCTCATGTCACTGATAAAACATATTTGCTGCGATCATTAGTCAGAAGGGAATTTACCTGCATATTTTGTGTTCCCTCTGCCCAGGATCACGGTGAGTCAGTCCTTCTTCTCTTATGTTGTTGTTATTATTGTTCCTGCCCTTATTACTGTATTGTGGTCTATTCATTTCCTGTTGATGGTTTAGACTCTCCCATTGTGGCGGCATTTCAGGGTACCTGCAATTCACAAATGAAGATTCAATAAAGTTAGTTAAGTTTTGTTTTATAAAACAATTGGAAATGAAGATGGATTAAAGCAGACCTATTGTGCAAAATCAACCTTTCAGAATTTTTAACCATGTTATAGTAGTTTCCCCTCAACATCTAGCAGAGAGTTTCAAGTAAGTCTCAAGTCTTTGACTGCAAGTCTGATTCAAGTCCCAAGTCAAATACAGGCAAGTCCAAGTCGAGTCTCGAGTCACTGGCTCGTAAGTCCAAGTCAAGTCCAAGTCGTCTGCTTTGAGTTTCAAGTCATTTCAAGTCTTGAGACAACTTAGATTTCTACAATTAATATGAATTTTAAACAAAATTGTACTTCATAGTACAACCATAGTACATTTATATATGAGTATATAAGAGTTGTAGAAATGTAATTTTAAATGTCTTGATAAGATCTTAGTGTGAATCTTTATGTTCAGAATAAAGAATTCAGATTTATAGTGCTTCTCAGGTCTTTTCAAGTCCGAGTCAAGGGGCTAACAGCTGCACGGCTCTTTGTTTGTTGCAGCTCTCAATAGTATATCTTAGGTATTAGTAACAATTTTAACTAACCTCTCCATCTCTTTCCTTTTCCTTTTTTCAATGCAGTCGACCAAACAGCAGGTGAGGAAAGCCATGGACATGAAGAAGATGACGGCAGAACTCACAATTGAAAGCAGTATGGCCAAATGGAAACCACTGATCCCAGGGTTGGAAAGTGCTGCAGGAACAAAGGGGAGAAATATACAAATAAGTGAACATTAAGGTATTCTACTTACAGTAGTTACTTCTGCATTGGGCCACATGTTCAGAACCTTCAAAACAGTCCTTATCTAAGTTTTCTTCATTTTGGTGTATGGTTTAAAACAGTCTTGGTGATCTTTTATTCTTTATGCACACAATCTGCTCTGATATATTCATTTTCAGATACATTTTCTCCTTAGTTTAAGTATAAATGTCTTTATTTCTCATTATTGTTCACTTACCCTAAAAGATTTGCACTGTTGTTCTGCTTATACTGTATATTTTGTACATATTTAGTCAAAATGGATTCTTGTGAGCTTTAAGCCATCTCATCAAAAACATTATTGATGAGTTTTGTTTCATTCACACATGTTTGTCTACAGCTACAACGCTCAGAATTTTTGTGATGTGATGAAGCGGTAGTTTTCAACAGCTACCTCTTGTCTTTAGTTCATTAGAGACTGGCAATTTCTAGTGAAGGTATATGGAGTTTAAAAACACATTGGCGCACTTCCTGAATTACCGCATGACATTACAAGTTGGAACAGAGTGTTTTCTATTTGAGAGAAGAACTCAGTCTAAATATGTAAGGTTTGCACGTGTGAATGAAACAAAACACAACTCCAGGTATATTTTTGATGAGGAAAACAACATTATAACATAGACCAGATAATAAAGTAATATGGATTCTTTAAAGCCTTATTTTTTTATTGATTTTATGATAGAGTTAATATTATTCATTGTTTTATGTTGCACCATACCGCTGAAGCAAGTTCCTAGTTTGTGAATTCTGTTTAGTGATTATGGCATTCTAGTCCTGATTATACCAGCAAGTGTGAGGCAGTTATGTCCAAAAGCATCAAAGTGCTTTTCATCTTCTTCTTTCAGTTGGGTGGTTTTGGCACCATATAGTAAAATAGGGAAATTGCAGTTTTGGTTTAGTCTGTAGGGTTATGGTTTTCATTTCTCACGCTTTCTTGTGTTTTCCAAAAGCACCTTTGCCTATATATGTGACTGCTGATTTTTTCCCTTTGAACCCTAAAACTTCACAATAGACAGCGTCTTTATTCCCATGGAGGCTGGTTCTGAAACATTATTTAGATTTTTCTGCTCATGAACCACAAAATGAGTTAATGTGCACCTGTCTCTAATGATTCTACTCTGCCCCTTTAATGAAACATCTACATTAATGTCAAATGAGCTCTATTCTCACCACACTATATATTTCCTAACCATTGAAATCATGGGTGCCAGTTATTTTAACCATTGTGACTACTTGTCTACAACTTAAACACCACTGTATGCATTGTGTACTCTGATATAACCCTATTAAGGCCAGAATTATTATTATTTTTACTGCATCTTGAGATTGTCTGTAGCACAAAGATTATATTTGTGCATTTTCTGCCAGTTCACCAATATCTCTTTCAGCAGGAGTATTGGAGATGATATGACTTGGTTTTGCCAAGTAATGTGGAAAAATATCAAGATACAGTATCATTATCATAGGCTGCTGTATCAATATATGGTCGAGTATTTTTAGGTATCTTTTAGACCGCACAACAATTGTTTTGCTTATTTAGAGGAAGGAAACTTGTTTATGCAATTTGCAAAAAAAAAAAAAAAAATCACTGTTTTAATTACTATTATTATAATATGTGCATTTCATATTAACTTTGCACAAGTAGTTGTCTAACAAAGAAATATTGTTGCTAATATGTATTTGATTCTTTAAAAAGACAGAATATCATGTGCAGTATCGATTATCACATGTATTGCCATGTCGTGATAATATCTTATCTTAAGCCATGTATCATGTAATATATTGAATCATGAGGGATCTTGGAAATTCCAGCCCTAGTTTCACCCACCAACCTGAAGGTCAGATTAATCTCAGCTCTAATGCATAGTGCTGTTGTGTTCTTGGGCAAAATACTCCATCTTGTAGAAATGTGCATGTGAACGGTTTATTAGGGGTGGTTGGATGGGATTGGCAGCTAAACCAGTCCAGTCAGTCGACCCCAATGCAGCTGTGGCACTGAGAATAGAGAGTGCATAATGTATGGAACTGAACAGTGATTTCAGCATTTGGAAAGTGTTATTTGATGCAATGTTTTATTATGATTATTAGCTATTTGTCTGCCTACTCACACTACCTAAAATCCTGAAGTGTACCCATTTTTCTTGTATTTCCTGTCACCATTAGTGTCTATGACTCAATAATATGATTTCTCATTTCCTATTTGTACCATTATGAATAACATGACAACAGATAATACTTTATATCAAAGTTATACTTACGCTTGCAGTAGGTCTCTCCCTCCCAGTGAGTGGTGTTTGCATCAAAAACACACTTGACACTGTCCCCGATCAACTTGTGTTTGTCTGGGCACTGCAGGGAGATCACTGTGCCCACGCTGGTGCCGTTTCCATGGACAATCCGCTGGAAACCCAGTGCGGGCTGTGGCATCGGGCTGCACTGAGTCTGGATAAAACCTAAACAGGCCAGAACAAAATGGTTAATTTGTATTCAAAACTTTTATTGTTAATCTTTGGATGTGTCAAACTTATGAGTGTGTATTTCTTTTTACTTTTCAGCAATATTGGAACAAAATAGTCAATAAAATAATTACAAAAAGATTAGAAATTATACAAAACATGTCTTAACATTTCAACATTTCTAATGAGATAGGTGGGCCAGTCCGCATTTCTGTAGGGCGTTCCAGTCCAGGGTGCAGGAGGAGAGCACAGCACACAGATAGAAACACTCGATCAGGGCAAGCAGATAGGATTTGCTGACTCACTAACGCTCTCATGTGTCAGAAGTGTATATTGCAGACTTACATGCAGATCGTGACAAGATGACCCAAAAAAGTCTCTTATGACCCATTTGAGGGTCACAAGTCCATCTTTGGGAAACAATGCTGTAGAACAATGATGTAGTTTTTGATCTATATTATAATGTTTCCTCATTCCTCATGTGTTTTGTTTCAGCCACATGTGTTTAATGCACAAACCCTGCATATTTAGGCTGAGTTCTCTCAAACATAAAGCACTCTGTTCCACCTTGTGATGTTATGTGGCAATACAGGAAGTGCTCCACTGCGTTTTTAAACTCCATACACCTTCACTAGAATAATTTGCATAATTTCAGCCCTAGAATTGCCTAACTCTACCAAACTAAAGGTAAAAGGTAGCTACTGCTTCATGACATCACAAGGTGAAAAGGAACATTTTGAGCTTTGGACATGTACACAGACAAATGCTAAAGGGTTACTCAAACATGTGTGTATGGAACAACATACAACTCCACTTTGCTTAATATGGAACTTTTAATTTCCCAAACCAGGAATCTTGCATCACTAACTGTCATTTTAAAGGAGACATTACTATTGTTGGGAACTGTTGGTCTTACATTCTGTCACAATAAATTCAGACTGTCTTTAAGAGGAAATATGATAACTCAACTGTATCCAAAAGGAAATGTGATAACTCTTTAAAACAACAAAAGCTTGTGGGATTCATGGAAACAGCTCAGCCCATATGAAGCCCTGAAAAACAAGACTTTATCTCTCGTTCACCATGTCATGGAGGTCCCAAATCACTGCTCAACAGACCAGAACAGGTTTAGCAAAAATCTAGAAACATCAGTAAAAATCTAGGCTTCTTGTATTTGTAGTGTGGACTTGTAGCAGTTGTTGACCCTAAGATGACATATATAAGGAACATCCACTATTCATGACATAGATTCACACTATATAAGTCTTCATTATGTCTCCTCCTAAGGTGAATCATCACTTTCTCTCATAATAAACACGTCTTCTGTATCTCCACTTCTTTAAGTCTCTCCTCCTCTTGGTCACCAGGCAGCTCTAACCTCCTCATCTATTTGAAATCTTCCTCTTACTATTCCAACTAGCACTGGTCTCACAACAGAAGTCATCGCGGTTTTAAACAAGTAGAAACTTTAATACGTAACAGGGGTCGACACAGAGCACCGCTTTTATGCAACGTGCGTGCGTGTGAGACTGCGCGAGAAGCCCAGCTGTGGAGTCTCCGATTAAGCCACACAGACCTCTTGTTGTCCTGCTTTCACCTTATACATTCATCAAATAATAGTATTTTTAAAAAGACACCAAATTAAACTGATCATCTTTCACAATCAGATTATAACAAATTATTTGGAACATGACGCATTTAGGCACATCACCAAAATCACAATGTCGTTGCCTACCTGAGATGATGCCGTGATAGCTCGCGTTTTTGCCTTCCATCTCACTCCTGGACGCATTGGCCACGGGTACAGACATGCTGCTCAAACACGGGACCTCGTGTGCGTAAAGCAGTGCTCCTCTGCGCTTGGTACGAGGTCAACAGTCCCAAATACCGTCGTTGTCTCTTTCTCCCTCGCCTCTCTCACTCCTTCAAAGTGCCTTTCAACTTCACGGACGTCCCAAACAGCTCTCCCTGCGTGTGTTTCTATTGCATCCAGTAGGCTATTGCTCAAACAACCGCAGAAGTAGTCCCAAACTGCCCCAAAAAGTGGGCCCTAAAAGAGACGTTCTCTACAGTGAAGTACGCGCGCGCTCAACCCAGACGCTGATGAGACTTGACCCGCGGTTAAGCGCTTTATGTGATGCAGGAAGTGCAGCTGTCGGCTCACAAGAGGATGCGTTTTACATTGTATGGACTAAATGTAGGCCTATCTCACCACTGTCTAGTTTCACGAGAAGCTCTCTCTTCAAAAGCAGAACAAGGCAGTTGCATCAGTTTAAGAGGCGTTCTTCCAGTGTAATAGGTTACAAAATGCTTGGAAGCCAGATGTCATTACAGAAATAACGCTTAAACTTTATGGTGTTTTGTGTTGTGCTTGTTGTGATTTCCAACATAATATTGAAAATGTCCTTTGTTTATGCCAAGACTTCAAGGCAAAAGTGTTGTCATTTTAGCAGAAGACAGACAGCACAGGTGTGGAGCAGGTGTCGCAGGGGTGTAGATAAAAAGAAGAAAAAGTGAAGTATGAGCTATATATTATATATATAGTTGTGTAATTAAGTAAAGTAAATTATTTCAGGAAAATGCATTGGAAAATGAGAAAAAAGGCAAAGGGAAGAGATCCATTTTGTCCTTGAAAATGCCACTGTTGTTTGTTTTGCTGGATTACTGAAATGAAGACTACCAACACGGTAAAAAAAAAAAAAAAATCTTTGAAACATCCTAAAATGCAGAAATTTACACCAATTTTGTACAAAGATTCTTGAGTAAGAACCCCCAACCCCCTCACCTTGTTTTATTACTTGCTAGACATACTCGCAGCATCGCACATAAGTGTTCCCTATTATCTACAATAGCACATTAAAAAAATATCTCAATTGTGTATTTGCCTTGGTGTATAACTCATTTGCAGTCATTGTGAACTTCGTCTTTAGTCTTGGACTACAAATATATATTTATATTATACATTATAAAACTGTGTATAAACAGAAATGATGTATTTGTAGATGTCATGATTACACAGATAAAATCCTGGAAAGTTATTTCAAGCAAAGTGTGGAAACTCCATTTTTTACATTCCAGATATTGTTGGGCCTACAGTTTGGGCCTAAAAGTACACACCTTCTGCAATAAGAACTGAAAAAGCACTGCATCAAACTTCCCTAAACTGGCACCTGCTGTACTGGGTCGGTCACAGTACTGCACCCAGAGCCGATATAGAGTAAATGTTTCTCTACCGTCTGTGGTGAGGAAACTGAGACACTTCTTCAGCTTCTGCACGAAAATGGGTTGGGCTCTTCCTGTCCATGAGCACTTCAGAAACTGAACTTTAAAACATCAAAGAAGTGATAGACTATAAGTCTGTATGTGTACTGAGAGTCCATTAAACTAAATACACTTTTAAAACTGCTATTGGCCATTAGTTAGTTTTTAAATACATAATATTAGTTAGTTTTTAAATACATAACATTCACAGGGGTGTTTTTGTTTGTTTGTTTTATTCACATCTATATGTTCAAATAATCAGCCTGTCAGTGAAGCAGTCCAAACACTTTTATATTTATACATTTGAATGTGTTTGTGAGATGCATCCCATAGCCCTGGACCAGTCTTGACTGTCACTAAATAAGCTCTGAACTCATATTGATCACTGCAAACTGGGAACCCCCCTGTAGTTTGCTGTTAGTTTTGGTTTCTCACCACACACATGTGGCTCTGAACATAATGGTTTCAAGTCTTTTGTGTTTTGTAGTGAAATACAAGTGCACTCTGTTTCTATAGCAGCAGGTCAAATGTGTGTAAAACCTTCAAGTCTTTGTTTAACACGCAGCTATAGCGAATGTCAAGGACCTTTACTGAACTTCATCTTAAAGAGTAAGATCACCTGCCTACCTCACTTAGCTCACAAACAGAGAAAAAAGTGTATCTGGGCCATAGTTGAAGTGAAGTATTCTACAGTATTCTACATTCTAAAGTATATTTTGGATTGCTGTATCACTTAAAGACCATTCACAACAAAAGGATTTTCACACTTGAGTCCAAAGCTCTCCAGTTAGGCTTGTGTGAGGGTCTACGTGAGGAGCAGTTCTATTTGAATGTTTCAATAGTTTTTAGTATAGATAGGCCTACCGTAAGAACTTCCACTGAACCATGACACAGGCCTTTTCAGAACAGAAGTTAACAATATCAGTTTATTGCACGCTCTGATGACTTTTGAGAATACAATTACTGTATACTCAAAGTATAACTAAGTCTGATGAATTCTATTGAAAATGATGGATATATTGAGATTAAACACAGGGGTGGAAAGTAATAAATTCCAACCATGAACTATTGTAACTGATTTACTTTTTTTGGTGATTAATATTACTTTAAAATGGGGTCCAACAAGTCAACTCTCAGATAAAGGAAGTAAGGTTCAGTTGACAAGAGGATGCCATTTTAATAATAGTATTTTAATCCTAATCTTCTGATCATAATAGCAATAGATTATAGCCACTGCTGCACCTATACAGTTTTTGTTCAGCAATTAAAAAGTTAAGGCAAATTTGTATATGTAAAAAAAAAAAAAAAACATGTTGTATACCATTTCAAGTTATTAATCTAATCCCCTGTCACTGCATTGAGAGCATGTTTGTTAGAAGAGCTCTACGTTTTCCCTTACATCTGTTCTCTGTTGATGCTAAAGTAAAGGCTGCTTTTCTCTATGTGTTATTTCATTCAGTGACCTTTACAAAGGGGCCAGGTGAACCCAAACTAGGGACCCCATCGGTGCATGCAGCAGAACACTTCTGCTGTGTTTTTGCAGCTCACAACATCACAGAAGAAGATACAGAACATAATGTACAGTGTCCTCCAAATACATACAACATACAAAATACAAATATATACTGGGAGAGCTGGCAGAATGCTGTTGAATAAATGCTTTTTATTGTAAAACCTGGGTGTCATAGAAAAGACAAAATATCCTCCTGGGACCTAAAGAAATAAAAGCATATTGCAATAAACTTTTTTTGTGTGATTTTCTATCTATTTGGAGGTAAATGAACACTTTAACATTTAGATTTTGTTTATTTTATTTTTACTTATCATTTTATAACATGTCCTCTGTAATGGACGCTGAGGACATTTTGGTGTTAAATCCACGTGAAGTTAACAACCGAACAAAAACAACATTTTTGATAACAACATCTCTGACAAGCTTCTACAGTCACCTCAAAAAGCTTTTAGTCTCCCATTATTTATTTACTTTTTAAACATAGTACAGCCACAAACTAACTCCTATTGAGTTACTGTTTTTTTGTTTTTTTTTGATGATGGTACCCTATAATCCCCAGCCCTGTTTAGGCAGAGGAACCTATTCCCCTCATTAAGAGTCTATCTCAAAACACTTAAAAATAGACTGGTTAATTAAATGGCCACTATAAGGAGGACAAATGAATGGGTCTCAGGAGGATATAAAAAAATTAAAGGTTCTTTGTGCAACTTTTCTGGTCTGAGGGTCCATCACCCACTTGTCTCCATGGAGATGTTATTGCTTTGTCTGGAATGTTCCATGGTATGACATGAACACATCTATAGAGCTTTTATTCATTACAGGTGTTTTTATTGCTCAAAAATACAATAATTTTCTTGGTGAACAGGTTTGTCTCTCTGCAGATCTGACCTATAATGAAGCCTATAGTTGTCTCCCTTGAGAGATAGTTTAATCTCTACTGTGGAACATTCTAGACAAATGGAGACAAGCCGGTGACTGACCCTCCGCCAGAAAAGTTGCGCAATGCACCTTTAAAACTGTAGAAAGGCATTTTGATTGTCTGTATGAGATGTTAGTCAAAAATCTGTTACATTTCTGAAATCTCATCCGAGGTCCAAGTGAGAGGCGCATCCGTTTGAGCAGTTGTTGTGGGTGACACTGTGCGTGGTTTTTGTCTCAGTGTTCTGCATTGTTGGAGAGAGTTAGCAGCTCTTTCAGCTCATGCTCAAAAACTCACAAACACTCCAGCTCTCAATTCATCATTCTGACATCGTGAGCTAAACAAATGCTCAGGCCTTCACAGAACGATGCTTTCAGGGTGACTCTGGGCACACACACAAAGAAGCAATACTCATTCAAATATGGCATGTGGCATGGCAAACAAACAAACAAATAAATAAATACACATGTAATAAATAAATACACGAACAAATAAATAAATGAAAAAAGAAATAAAGAAAGATACAGTAGAAAAAAAGATGCATAGATAGATAGATTCTCTCTGAGATTCACAGTTGGGATTATGGGTCCCGGATTTAGCAGGGTCTGATTACGGTTCGATAATCTCTATGGACCTTCGGTGAGAAGCCTGCTGCATTAATTCGGTGTTCAGGATGACAGATGGATGAAGCATGACTAAAGCCTGTGATTCAAGTGTTGCATACTTCCTATTCAGAACTCAACATTAAAAAGTGTTCAGTGAAAAGTGTCAACATTTGAGTGTGAGTGTTAGAGGATTAACCAAACCACTTAGAAAAGACATGGTTTACTAATGCAAGATATTTATTCATACTAACTTGATCTGTCATCTGTCCGTGTCTGTTTTCTATAACAATATTTCTATAATATTTGTCAAATGTAATGTATGCATGTTTCTGACCTCATATGGGTGAATTACTGTATGTCCTAGATATAGTAACTCTGTGCAGGTTCATTTGGTGAGGATGTGGCTTTTAAGAGGTTGCTTAAACTTGCTGCTCGTCAACCACGTGACACTATCAGTGCACTGTGCACTGTCAAATTCTCACATTAGTATCTTTTATCATTTATCATCCAGGAAATGTTTTTTTTTTTTTTTTCTTCATTATTTTATTTAATCTTTTTTGGGCTCATAACTATTTTAATATTTTTTGTGTTTTAAAACCCTTTAAATGCCACTTCTTATCATAAAAAGACAAAATGTTGTGTTATGTGTTTGTGTCATTTTGTGCTGTTTTCTTGCAAATGCATATACCAAAGACCAAAATATAGAGCAGAAGTGTCTAAAAAGAATTAACCAAAAAAATAAATAAAAATAAAATAATGAACAAAAAATGTCCTGGATTTAATTTGTTATTTCTTGTATGATTTTATAGGCTGGCTTAAGTTGGACAGGTGGCGCTGTTACTCTTCACTCGTACTGCATTATGTTGTCACCCTATACAAAGAAACCCCTTAAAACTCGTCACAGTCAAATCATGTGATTTGGCAATGCCAATCTACTGAGAGCCATGG